GCGCACACTTCCCCTCAAATCTGGCAGATCCTTACCCTCTTAGATTTCCAAAAAGCTCTGAAGATCTGGCTTTTCCCACAAGCCTTCAGTGATGCTGGAGCCTATTGAAGCTCTAAAGTTCTTCTGTGAAGGAAGATGTGTTACATTTGGGAGCACCTGGAGGTTGTGTGTTGAGTTTGCCCAGGTTTATACTGCAGAAGATGGGCAGCTACACATTTTTTTAAGTAAATAAAGAATTCAAAGAAACAACAGGCAATAAGACAAGAGAGAAAAAAGCTGCGGCTTTACTGTTATGCTCATGGAATTTGCTTTTTCAGTGTGTTTTCTATCTCTTCAGTTATTAGCTTTAGCATTCACAAACATCAATTCATGACTTATTTGGCGAGCTTTAATTTAACACAGTAGAGAGTAAAAAGGACAAAAATTATGAACAAAATCAGAAAGCATTGATTGACTCTTTTGATTGTACAGATTATAAATTGTAGACATTTAAAGTAAGCAAAATAATAGAACTCCAGTAAGATTGTACAAGTTTACAGATAATTGCCCATTGATAAATGGGTATTATGTTTACCTTTTCTTTGCAAACAACCTAGCTTCCAAAGGCTCAGGTTAAAGCACAGTTAAATATAATTGGTTGGGAGAGAGAAGTGGAATAAGGAAAATAATGTCTATGGCTAAGGAAAAAGCAATCATTAAATTGAAATGCTAAATACTACTTTTAATTTCCTCTCTTGAATTGAATGTCTAACATGTTGGGTCCCACTTACCTTGCTACATTTCAAAACATGGAGCAAATGACAAAATATGTGACTAAAACCCTTTTTTAAAAAAAAATCTAGATATTGTCTCTGGTTTTTTTTGGTCTGGTTCACTGATAAAGCTAAATGTGATCTTTAAAAAAAAAATCATGATTTTTTTAACAAGTCATTATGACTTGGCCCACACATAATATGAAACCATAAGAGTTGAGATGGCATGGAAGTTACTTTTAAATTCAGTTTCATTTTTATTTGTGTTAATTGAAGTAATACAGAAAATGAGATTTGCCTGGGATAATTATAGTGGATGAAAAATAGATTTTTGCTCATGATTTTTGTACTCCTAATTAATAAAGACAGAATAAATTATGCAGAATAAAGTTTAAATTATAAAGTTCCTAAATACATGTGATACTAGTGGCTGGAAGCATCAGATGGGTATTTTATAATTCTATTCTGACCAACTCAGAGGCTGAAAAGGCATATATTTTTTCTTTCCCAAATTTATTCTCTTGTTTGATAATTCACCATTCTGTATTTTCTGTAACATAACTGCAAGTAGAAATTTTGTTCTGCAGTGAGTCTTTTGATTCCCCTTTTTCAGATTCTCGGGTTTGGCATCAGAAAGTTTTCCATCCCTCTGAATTAAATTTGGAAAGTATACAAAGGGCTGACAGAAGGGAAAACCTTTCCTGATTCTGTTTGCTAAAAAGAGTTGATTGTGTTCCCCCACAAGAGCAAAGTCTGCTTTGCATTTAAAATATATATATAATTTCTACAATACTGTATGTATGAGTAAATGTATAAAGATGTAGAAATCTCATTTTCATAATAGGAGTCAATTCCAGTTAAAGCAGCTTGTCATGTCTTAATTGAGGCTTATACTCATAATCTAACAACTCTTGGCATCTAATAAAGATACTGACCTGAACTTTTCAAAGAGTAGCTTCCTTTGTTGAACATTACATTTAAAATTGTAAATCCATTTTGATATGGCATAGGAGACTGGGTTTTCAAATGGGTTTTAGTTATGTATTGATAAATCAGAGCCTGCTTTTTAGTCCTATGAAGTAGGCTAGGCTTGTCTAAGATATTTATTCATAGTTTAAGCCTAACATATGAGACAGTAGTGATGTTTGAACCTGACCTTTGCTCAGATTTACTCTAGTTTCTAGAAGATGAGTTTGCTACAAATGCAGTGCTCATTTCCTGGTTTCTCACATTACATCTAAGTGAAGAAAACTGTGTTTCAATTAAGGGTACTGATGCAGTTAGCTATTACTCTGATCCTTAATGTTCATATAGACAAAAGAAAAAATTGCACTGGGTAAAGGTCATTAAACTTTTTCTTGTCCCGTTTGGTATGCAATTTGAACAGAAGGATTTATTTATAAACCCTAAATCTGTTAATTGTAATTGAAAACCGATGTAAGTCTTCAAAATAACACACTGAAAGCAAGTTTTGTTCTGTCTTGAGTTTTTAATTAAGAAAGCTAACGTAGCATTTGGCAGCTGACAACCGCTTACTTCATGCACTGAATTTAACTACAGGAAACAGTTTTAACTCTTGCAGATTTTTCCTTTTTCTTACCCACTCATTGAATAATAAAGTAGTCTCCAAAGCCAGCTGTGGGAACATATTTCAAACAGTTGAAGTTAATTTTCTTTATTATTAATTTATTTGGGATATGTATATGGCAACCCAACTCATAAAGCAGCATGCAAAAACCATTAAAAATAAAAAAGAAAGATAAAACATACCATTAAAACAAACAAAGCAAACAATAATCAGAATTAAATAAGTCAGGTCTTACCAATTGGAACTCTGTTCATCCTGAGGGGAAGGCCAAGTCCTAACTGTCTTTCTCAAGGCCTATAGTGTCAGGGCCAACTGTAACTATGTTTAATAAGAATTGATTGCTCTAAAACATTCAGTTTTCTTGTGGGCCACCCCACTCTGGCTCTTCTGGAGGTAGTCCAACAGTTTTCCAGAAATCCTCTGGGATAGACTGTTTCCTGTTTCAGAAATGTACTTCTGGAAAACTGCTGACTAGTGCAAATAACCCAATCAGCATAACTGGAGAAAAACAGAACATTCCAGAGTTTCCCAGAATGTTCTATCCTTGGAATGGAACACTTTGCACATCCTTACCAATTATCTTGCTGTAGAATATATATGAAAAGCCATGTTTAATTCACTGCTGAATTAAAATTTACTCATTTTAAAAAATACAAGCTATATGAAACATCTATTCATGGGACTTATTTTATTCCCCCAATTTTAAATATATACTTCTTTAACTCAAAATATACTACTTACAGCATGTTTTAAAACATATGCCATTGCAAAAGTCTAGGAATTAAGATTTAGTCCTCACTTAACAATGCTAATTTGGACTGGAAACTTTTTAAGTAATATGTTGTAAATTAAAAAACCATGTCACTGTGCAACTTAGCAATGGCAATTCCCACAATCCAAGGAACATTCAGTGAGAATCTCATGTGATTGTAACTTCCTGCCAGCTTCCTTGTGACTTTGCTTGTTGGAAGTCTGCAGGGAATGTTGCAACGTGTGATCATATGGCCATAAGATGGAGTAGTGGCCATATGTATGAGGACCTGTTATAAGTAGCACTTGTTCAGTGCAATTTGTAAGTTTGAAAGGTTGGTGAACAAGCAGCCCTTAAACCAAGACCACCTCTAATATTAATCTGACAGCAATGTTATTGCCTCTGATCAAATTACTAAGCAAGCAGTTTTCTTGGAAATTGATGTTGCCTAAGTATTTTCAAATTTTGCAAAAGTAATATTTGATGAAATGCATGTCTTTTTTAAGTTTCTCAAATAAATTAAGAGTTGTACTTTGGAAGTTCTTACTCTCTAGGGCCTTTATGTCCCTATGGTAATAAGGTTTCTAAGACAGCAAATAAATACATTGGAGGAACAGGGCAGATAACCTCTATCTTATTTCCCCCTTTGAACTGTAATTGTTCAAAAGAAAAGGATTTAAGCAAAGGACAAAGTTGAAAAAAAACCTGTGCACAAGGAAACAGAAAGGGCGAAGGAATTGTGATTCAGTGTACTATAATAAATATATCTATTAAGCAACATGGCTATTCAAATATTCTAAGATTATTTTACTTACTTAAAATATAAAGAATTAATAATGTACATGTAATACTTGAAGTGCCAATGTTCATTATATCATATTTTTTATTTATACACACATTCTGTTTTGAGCACAACCATTGCAACTGTAGGGAAGCCAACTAAATTTTATCTGTTTGTAATAGAGTCTTCTGGACGAATGGGATGGGTAAATAAGTAGACTGGTGTGATCATGCTGTTTTTATTTATAGCATGACCTCAGACTTAAGACTCAGTTTGGATTAGCTCACTTGAATTTCCAATCATATGAGCTGTCCTTTGCATAGTGAATTAATTATCTGCAGGAGTAGGAAATAATATTTAATATTTTTGGTATGACAAAGAATCAGAAATGGCTGTTACATTTATCAGACATACCCATTACTTCCTTTCTGTTTCCTTATGCTGTTAAGAATACAGTAAAAAAAGACAGTGATACAATGCTATAGATTGAAGTAGAACAACATCTGCAGTGTTTCAGCTAAGGAGAAGATGATGATGATCCAAGAAACCCAGTGTTGTATATACAAAAAGAAGAATTGAGAAGAGAGGAGAGCCAGTAGCTTGTAAAAAACAACCCAATTGTGTTAGAAAGGCCAAAGAAACAACTGGGTCAGTTGGTAGAACTCTATAATGGCAGCATGCTGTGATTTCCAGTTGTTTGACAGCAACAAAATCACTCTCAGTTAATTTGAAATTTAGACTTTTTTAGAGTTGTGAAGTCTGTTCTATTCTGGATCCAAAACACATACTTTATTATTCAGTTTAGTATTCTTTAATTCCATACGTGTATTTTGCACCAGACTACAATGCATATTGGGTTCTAAAAAAATCAAACTAGATTCTAGTCTGCAACCTTAGATTCTATTGTTACATTTAAGGAATTACTTGATAGATGCAGTTTAATCTATATTTAGTGAGGAACGGGACCTCAGAAAGTTTCTGGATGGAGGAAATAGCAATAGAATGTGCTGAAAGTTGCCTTTCAGTAATTTTACTATATTTTCTTTGTCTCCCTTATTCAATGAAATATCTTGAGTTTAAAAAAAACCTCTTGCATGTTTTAATAATCAATTTGTTTTTTTCCCATAGCTATGGCAGCCATTCGGAAAAAACTGGTTATAGTTGGTGATGGTGCCTGTGGCAAGACATGTCTGCTGATTGTATTTAGTAAAGACCAGTTTCCTGAAGTTTATGTTCCTACAGTATTTGAAAACTATGTAGCAGATATTGAAGTTGATGGAAAGCAGGTATGTTTTTCTGCCACTGTCAATTTATGATTAAAACATTTTATAGGCTAACATATGTGAACTAAAGTTTTGTGCCATGCGTTGAATCCAGAATGCTCTTCCATTCATAAATGGTCCTGCTGAAGACAAGAAGTGAGATGTGACTTTAGGAGATGCACTGCTTTGGCATCATATCCGAAACCTTGAAATGGTGTTGTGTAGTTCTTTGTAAATCTCCAAATTATATTTTTGTTGTACAGAAGCTGTTATAATTACACATAAAAAACAAAGCAGAAATTAACCCATAATTTAATATAGGATTTATTCCTTATAAATAATTTGCAAATTGGAGTGGGTCTGAATATTCGGCTCTGAATTATTTAAACTTATTTATCCTATGCTATTAATGTCCATAAAACAGTCACATTTAGTAATGATGAACACACTAAACATTTGAACATGTAAATGGATTTTTGTTTCAACAAGCCAGCAAAGAACTTTAAGCACCTTATAGTAGTTCTACCCCTTCGGGTCAGTACCAAAACCAAGGAATTACTCCCATAGCTTTGTCATCCCAGCTGAAGATCCTACATAGCACAGGATGCCTATTTGGATGAGGAGAGGTGGCAGCCTATGAAATGAATTTTGACTAGCTATGTTTTGTCAGAGTACTTTTTTTCCTTTTCGGGTATGAATGTACTTATTATTCCTGTAGGTGGAGCTGGCCTTATGGGATACAGCTGGACAAGAAGACTATGATCGACTTAGGCCACTTTCATATCCAGACACCGATGTTATACTAATGTGTTTTTCAATTGATAGTCCAGATAGTTTAGGTAAGTAGGTAAAATTGAAACGCATGCCATACTCTGTAAATTACTGTACAAGGTAGCCCTTGTTGAACAACCGCTTCTTCAGTGATTGTTCAAAGTTACAATGGCACTGAATGAGGGAGATCTACAATAAGTCCTTGTAATTGTGGCTGCCACAGTGCCCCCAGGGCCATGTGATGGCAATTCAAGTGCTTGGCAACCACTTTGCAATTAGGATAGTCACAGCATCCTGCAGTCATATGATTACCATTTGCAATCTTCATTGCCAGCGACCAACAACCAAAATCAACAGGGAAGCTGACAGAAGATCACAGATGGTGATCACTTAATCACAAGATGCTCTGACCATGCCGGATTCGCCTAACGATGGAAACTGGGACTGCTGCAACTACCATTGTAAATCAGGGTAGTTTTGTGGTGTCTTGTTTTACCCTCACATTGCTTAGTGAGGGACTCTGCCAGTTTTAATTACCATTGTTAAGCAAGGACTACCTGTGTTATCAGCATTCTGTACAATATATAAATGAGATAAAACTGAGAGACAATAGTACAGTAACAACATAATTTCTGTCTAGTAATGGAAATTCATCTTTATAAAATCATGTCCTCGCTTGAAAGAAAGGGGCAAAGTGTTATTTTAAATGCACAATTGACCGCAATTGAGCCAAACATTTCAACAGTTAAGTGAATTTTGCTCCATTTTACAACCTTTCTTGCTACAGTTATTAAGTGAATCACTGGAATTGTTAAGTTAGTAACATGGTTGTTAAGTGAACTTTGCTTCCCCATTGACTTTGCTTGCCAGAAGGTCACAAAAGGTGATCATATCACTCCAGGACACTGCAATGGTCATAAATATGAGCAAGTTGCTTAGTGTCTGAATTTTGATCATCTGGCCGTGGAGTGCTACAATGGTCGTAAGTGTGAAAAACGGTCATAACTCACTTTTTTCAGTGCCATTGCAATTTCAAACAGTCACTAAATGAATAGTTGTAAGTCGAGAACTACCTGTACTTTGCTTAGAAAAGGTGTGACTTTTAACTGTTCATATATGCTTTATTAACGTTTACCTAACTAATATTTAATTTAAATATTAACTTAAAATATTTTTATAACCTATTTTTCCAACACAGACCTCCACTATTTGTCATGGGCTGCCGTGTTAAATAGACACCGGAGAGCTCGTCCTGTGAGGCAGCTGCTTTATGATATATAGAAGAAAATGGGGAAACTAATTCCCATGACTATCTTTGGATAAATAAATCTGTGATATTATTTTTAGTTTAATATTGATTGAAGAGTTGATCTCTGGTATTTGCTTCATCTCAGAAAACATTCCAGAGAAGTGGACTCCAGAGGTGAAACACTTCTGCCCCAATGTACCCATCATTCTGGTAGGAAACAAGAAGGATTTGAGGAACGATGAACACACAAGACGGGAGTTGGCTAAAATGAAGCAGGCAAGTCATCTTTTTTGTTATTGTTGTTAGCCTTGTCAAATAAACTGTGCCAGTTTTGGTTAGACAGATAGTCCTTGTTTAGTAGCTGCCTCAGACAGCAACCATTTGCAATTATAGCAGTGATGAAAAAGTAATTTTGTGGCCAATTCCTGCATTTACAACCTTCATAGCAGCTTTCTCTCTGTCACATGTTTGCTATTAACAGTCAGTATGCATTGTCTTATGCCTGACCCATTTTTTTCCCTTTTCTTGCCCCTTCACAGGGCAAAGATAATTAAACAAATTATCTCTTCCTGAGCTGCTTTCTTCCACAGTCCAGGGGTCCTTGAAAGTTAACAAGCTCCCCTCTTCATCCTTAATTAGCTGATTAGGACCCTGGGCCAGCTCCCAGCTGCTGTCTGAAATTTACAAGACCTTAATCAGGTTCACATTAAAGGCTTTTATTTGCCTTCTAAACTACGCCCACCCCATTGCCGGCAATGGACGTTGCGAGTTTGACATGTCTGCCCTAGGGCATTCCTTTCAATGTGTATTCCCTGTTGCGTGCTTGCTTACTCTTGTAATCTCTTCCTCTCCAGTGAATGTAAATACAAACATCACTACTCTTTCTAGCTAATTATCCCAGTGGCAGGGTGAATGTTCCAAAGGTCAGGGAGTGAGGGGGGGAGGCTATAAGATTTGCTCATGAGTCAAGTTCCTGAAACCTTCCCCACCATTTGGGCTCACCTGGCTGTTTGGGGTTGTATCCTTTTAATGTTGTAAAGCAAACTAAAGTAAAATCAGTTGGCAGCACAAGGAAACAACAGCCAATAGCCAGCCATCAACATCCCAATCAAAAATTAAAAACCACACACAACCAGGCACCATATAAACATTACCACATAGAATAGCCCAAAGCACCACATTCTGTTAGAGAGAAGTTCCCTGAGGATAGACTTGGAAGACAAAGATTGACCTACCAAGATTGGATCCTGAAGTAAAATCATCAGTAGTGATCACATAATTTTCACTTAGTGACTGCTGAGCTGCTGGTCCCAATTGCTGTGATTAAACAAGGATTACATTTATATATTACTGAGGTTGAGTATATTATGTAGGGCTGAAAAATCTTCATTTCATTAATATGATGGTATGTATAAGATTATTGTTAGAACATTATGATGGGATGAAGGTGGTTTTAAGTTGTACTTCTTTACCATTTGGATTACTAAAGTTTCTAAATTTGTGTTTTCACCAGAAGTAGAGATTCTTACAGAAAAGCTAAATCATTATGAATCATGCCAAACTGCATAAAAATTAATGTCGTAGTTTTCAAGGTGCCCAGTATTGATTGTAGTAAGCCTTTAAGTAACTTTCCCACTATTCCCAATATTCTTTTGTCAGTGTGGTTAGACTGATACTTCCTTCCAGATGCTCAGTCCTTTTGATGTCTCTTGCCTAATGTATTCAGTGGGACAAAATAGGGACTGGAGAATACTGTTAACAAAAATAGTAATATAGGAAAAAATATAGAAATGATACATTGTGTTTATACAATAAAAATAGAAATGAATCAATCACAGTGTGTAAGTCATGAATTATGTGCAGAAAATAAATTAGCGAAAAACTGAACTAAATTAGTGAAAAACTGAAAAATTACTGTTTTAAAATTGCACAAATTACGGAAGGAAAGAAAAGAATAGAAAACTAGAGAAACAAAGTAACTGAATTAAAAATCGTCCCAAATCATCCCATCCCATTCCACATTCCAGGTTCATGCCACGTTTGAGCATAATCCTTCTCTCCATACTCTTAAAAATGGCAGTATAAATAGGTTTCTGAAATATGGAGAGAAGAAAGATTATGCACTGTACATGGCTACATACAGAGGGAATTGCCTTCCTAGTGGTTTAGCTGTCTAGGAAGCTTCCATTTCTAGACTGCTATACTTCAAGATGACCATTCCACATGTGCTTCCCAGAGCTATGTGCAGGAAAATAAAGTGATTATTGTAATGTGTATTTATCTTTATAAACCCCTTGCCTTCATATTAATTAGCTTTTTTTTTTAATAGGAACCAGTCAAACCTGAAGAAGGTAGAGATATGGCAAATCGCATTGGTGCTTTTGGATACATGGAATGCAGTGCAAAGACCAAAGACGGTGTGAGGGAAGTTTTTGAAATGGCTACTAGAGCTGCTTTACAAGCCCGACGTGGCAAGAAAAAATCTGGGTGCCTTCTGTTGTAAGCACAGCCAAGGGAAGATGGCTGAAGCAGTGCCCGGCACTCAATGAATTTTTGAAGTGCTGTTTATTAATCTTAGTGTATGATTACCAGCCTTTTTCATTTATCTATAATTTACTTAAGAGATTTAAAATTGAGTCTTGCTACCAGTATTTAGAAGCCAACCATGATTTTTTTATAATGGTCTGCATCAAATACATCTGTGCACATAAGGGTTAACTTCAACATTCCTTTAACAAAACTTTTTCTGCATTTGCAGAGTATGCTATGCAGAATATGCCAGGCACTAATTCAAGACAATTCTCTAACTTCTTGCTTTTTTTTTTACAAATGGGAAAAAGCTGGCGACACTGAGAATTGGGCTGTAACTACTCCATAACTAACATGTTCTAGCCTATTCAGGTACAGCACACATAGCTGTGGAAAGATCCTGAATAAGTTCAGTGTTTTCACTTTAAAAGAAGGATTTTTTTCTCCTCCTTCTGTTTGAAAGCTCTGAAGCATAAAATAATAGTTGGAAAATAATTATTTCTCTGAAACACCAAAAGTCCCACCCAGCTATGAAGTGACAGTTCTGTGATTTCATGTTAGTTACCTTATAGTTACTATGTAATTAGTGCCACTTTGTGTGTTACCAAAAATAAATCTATATGCCCCAGTTAGATGTAGTATTTTTTGTATAATTGGATTTCCTAATACTGTTGCTTGTAACTTCTGCGTAAAGTGTTCTGGGTTTTTTTAAGAGTGTACTTTCAAATAAAGTCAAATGAAGAATGGTGCCCTTCCCACATTTGTAACTATCCAGGTCATTTGTATGACTTAAAACACACCCAGAAAAGTCATCTTTAATACCTCCTTCAGGAGTAAGGGAAAGGCCATTATTTTTACATTAAAGGTCACTGAATGTTCCAGAAGCTTTAAGTTAACCCCTGCTGGATCTGGTTCCAATCTGAACATAAACTTTTGCTTATCATCTGCTGGCCAAATTCCCATCCTGTGAATGTCCTGCTGTTCTGCAGCAAACTAAACTCTTCTCTATTTCTTGTTTCCAACAACTAATAGAATAAAGGCAGTTTTCTAAGCTCCCTGTATTGTGGTTGTTTATATTTCTCACTGTTGTTCTGCAAATACAAATCTTGACATAAGAGTTTGAATTATCTGATCCAAAAGAAAATCTAAAGAAAACCTGAACTGCTTCCATATTAGCATATTTCCTAGTAATGCTGCATCCACAAAGCCAGAGTAACTCTTTTGCTTCTGAATATGTCAGCTAATTTTGTGCCTAAAGACAGAGGTGAGTATCAGCAATTAGTATCCCTCAAGTTGCTACCTAAGTGCCACAGGAGAGCAGCTCCTTTCTTTCAGGGAAGATTTATACTTCCATTGGCACATTAAGCATACATAAACAAAATATTTTAACTGCATAGAATTTCTAGAACGTGGTCATTAATAATATACCAAACAAAGTTACAGTACAAGTAGTCCTTGACTCAAAACAGTTCATTTAGTGACCATTCAAAGTTATAACAGCACTGAAAAAAGTAACTTATGGCCACTTTTTTTAACTTACAGCCGTTGGAACATCCCCATGGTCATGTGATCATAATTGAGACACTTGGCAACTGACTCAAGACAGTTGCAATGTCCTGGGGTCATGTGATCACCTTTTGTAACATTCTGACAAAGTTAATAGGGAAACCAGATTCACTTTTAACTACTGTGTTATTAACAACTGCAGCAATTCACTTAACAACTGTGGCAAAAAAAGGTTGTAAAATGGGGCAAAATTCACTTAAATGTCTCGGCAACAAATTTTTGGCTCAGTTGTAAGACAAGGACTACCTGTAATATTGTAGATACAGTTTGCCTATGTGCATTTTTGTATATGGACATAAGAATTAATGTAACATACATGTACATAAAGTAATGTTAAATCTTGGTAGTTAAGAATCCTACGTAGCAGGGATGCCCAGCTATCGGGCAGGCTGCATATACTCCGTTTTTAATATAGTCTACCATTAAAATTAGCAGTAAACTGCTAATAGATTGTTAGATCCATAGCTTCAGATCACATTGCTGAAAGATTTTTCTAAACTTCCAACTTCCACCACCGTATTGCAACCAGTGACATGTGGGGGGGAGAGGGGGGAACAGCAGCAAATTAAAAGTGTCTCTTTGACAAATAGTTTTTCTTTGTATAAATTTAACAAAACATTCTTGATTGTAGTATATCCTGGTACACAAGAAAGTTGTCTAACCAGCTAGACTACTTTTTTCTCCTTCCTTTTTATGGTAGAAGAATTAACCTTTGCAGTAAAGGGAGAGAAAGTTTGGATTTACAGAAGTTAATATATGTGTCCGTGTTATGATCGTGTTTTGTTATGCATTGTTTATACACACAGAGAGAAGTTAACATCTAAAATCTGTATATTTATTTGCAAGGAAATATTTCACCTCTTGTATCTCCATTTCTGTCATTATAAATTTACTATAGTTTTATATTCCCACACTTTATGAGAGTACACAGTTAAGGTAAAATTTAAAAACACACATCACCATGTAGCAAAAATCAGTAACGAATAAAACCATAGTTTCATCTTATTAAAGGTAATACCAACAACCACATCTCGCCTCTCAAACTACTGAATAGCTCTATTTTCATAGCTTTTTCTGAAACTCAAACTTTCATTTCTCACTCTGCCCCAAATCTCTCATAAGGAGGGAACCCTCAGTATATCCGTATCAAAAGGTAGGGTCCACTTGAAGTACATGGTACCTAGTGCCTAATAAAATATTTTATAGGTCAAGAACAACACTTTGAACTGTACCCATATATAGTCAGTGCTGCATTCACAAGTATTTGTGTATTCTGATTTGTTTGCTAACATTGCTGCATTTTAAAGCAATTGCAGTTTCTGAGTAGTCTTCAAAGGCAACTCCAAGCAGAGCACATTGCAGTAATTCACCAGAAAATGACAAGCTTATGAATCTCTGGTCAGAATCTCCTTCAAGAAGGGCCACAACTGGAACATCAGCTGAAACTGATTAGTGTCCCTAGCTACAAGCTTCTACCTGCCTATCTCATAGTAGCTGTGAGTTAGGAGGGCCTGAAGTTGCTGATCCACTCCTTCAGGAAAAATGCTACTTTATCCAGTGCAGCCACTGGAACAAATTGCAGTAATAGATGGTTTCTGGACAATTTGAGGCATCCTGGGATTCACTTCAATTTGTCTATCTCCAACCAGATCTTTATAGTCTTCTGACACTGTGCCAAGACTTTCATTATGTCACTGTCCTAGCCCCAAATAATGTATATCTAAGAGTCTTCAACATATTGATATTTCACCCCAAATTGACAGATCTCTCCCAGAGATTTCATATAAATGCTGAACACTAGGGAAGAAAAAAAAACCCTGTGGTTCCCCACATTGAAGTAGCCAACAGACGCATCCTATGCCCAGGTCTAAATTCTGACTAAAAAGAATCAGATAATCCACTGGCAGAGCCAGATTCCTATGGAAGGATAGGAGGTGGGGATAGACCTTATCGTAGAGAGTGGGATGCTCCAAAGGATGGCGCTGTGTCAGAGAAGACTTCTGAATCCTGATTGCTGGAGTTAATTTAAAACATCTAGTTCAAACATCAAACGTTTGCTAACCATGGCTTAAATAACCCACAACTGGTTAGGTTCACACAACACAGCCACAGTTTGCAACCCACAAAAACAATTGGTCTACAAACATCTTAAAAGAAGACATTAAGCATGTATGAACCTTTGGATACTATACGTACACCTAAAGTTGCTCTTCGGAGACTAGCAAAAATCTGCTTTGTGCCTTTTAACATTAGTATTTTTAATTTTCCATTTCTTCAAACACAATCCCAAAATAACATTATGCCTTGGCACTGATGCCAGGGAGACTTACAACATGATTACTGGGTAAGAAAAGTTTCCATTTCAGTCAGTGACTCATTAATCCTGTTTCTCCTGCACTGATGAGAGGTGGGGTGCTACTGGAGAGAGAAACAGGATGATTTACCATAATTACAGTCAGTAACTTATCCAACAAAGTTAGTTAAGCAGTCCTTTGGCATACCATTTGAGGAAAATAAAAAAGATGGGTGTCTGTTATTTGCCAGATTTGCAGTGTTTGTCATTTTCAGTCTTTCCTTACCTATAGGAGAGGTGGCAGCTAGTAAGTTTCAGTTCTTCCCCCTTACAGCAGGGGGGGTTTCAATATTTTTCAGTTAAAAACTATCCCAGAAGACTTGATAAAGAAGCAAAGCTCTACAATAATGATAGAAAATTGGCTGTGTCTGAGTGGTCTTATTCTGGCAGTGAACCCCATCAAGTTCTCATGGACTCTAGGGATCTGCAAACCCAGTTTTTTTTTTTAAAAAAAAAAACAACCTCTGTTTTAGAGGAGCAGATCGATGCCCAGTTATGGCATGCTCTGCTTCCTGCTTTCTGGGACTATCTCTGGTTTGGCATCTTTCCTTATGTTTCTTAATTCTCGTTATGTGGCGAAATGGATTAGTAGAGGAGAAGCAGAGGAAACAAGCAGAGTCCTGAAGTCTTACCCATCCTGGTCCTCCTGCATCACCTCAATTAGTGGATGTTTTCTTCCAGTTGGTGGTGTGCTGAAAGAAGATAACAGCAAAGCTGGAAGAGAAAAACAATAATTATAGCATTAATCAGAGACACAGAATCTAAGCATGAATTGGAACAATGCCCTAAGAGGCTGGCAAGAGACTGGCAATGGGGACAATAGATTTTATGCCAACATTATTTTCTGCCAATTCGAGGATGAATGGTTAGCATTTTTACAAAATGCAGAAAGACCCTTAGAAGCTGGAGTAAAGTCCATTTCCCATTCCCATTATTGCTAGATCTTATTAAAACAAACACCAAAAAAATCTCTGTGTTAAAAATCTCTTTGCATTTCTAATTTCAAAGCTATATTTGAGAATTTAATTTAACTACTTTTTCCAGTTTAAATTTCTCATGAAACTTATCCTATATTTTGTCAACCAGTGTCACAAATCAGGAAATAGAGCCATTTAGAATCCCTGGCAAATCCTCTTTTCTAAGAATTCCCTGTGAAAGAAAATTAAAGGTCAGGGTCAATTTTCTGACATGCTCAGGCATGGTTAATTGGGGAGTTCTTGCCTTTTTATCAAGGATCTCTTCTTTCAACCCAGCTCTAGGAAAATTAGAAAGGAAACTGACACATGTTCAGAGTTCATAGACCCTGTGTTTGGGTGCTCATAGACAGACTCTACTTGATAATTTCAAGTGATCCCATTCCCCCCCTTCCTTTTCTGGAGCACTATCCCATTTCCCCCCAATTCTCCATCCTCCACCTTCATATCCTATTTCCCCAACTCCAATTCCCATTCACACACGAACACCCTCTTTTCTGGAGCACTTTTTCTTAGTTTTATACAGTGTGGAATATAACTAAAAGCTACTCTCTTTGGGGGGGATTGACTATTACTTTCTCCAAAAAGCATATTCCATTTCCAATGTCTTGAATGTAGCCCAACAAATCAGCAATTAAGAGGTTAAGAAGATAGACTTCACCAGATTTTGATGAAATGATAAAATGAATGTATTTTCCACTGCTTTAGTCATTATATCGTGGGAGCGGCTTTAGGGGGCTGGCTAGGGAATTCTGGAACTTGAAGTCCACAAGTCTTAAACTTGCCAAAAGTGGATACTCCTGGTTTAGACTTTTCAGCACAGGATCAACCTACCAGATCCTTTACCGGGTACTGTTGTGCCATATCAAAAGTTAGGGTTTTGCCACATGGGACCAGGAAGATGGAGCAAGAAGAGTGCAGGAAGTGCTCCGTATAGTTTATGAAAACCTAAACTGTGGATAAACTGTTGCCAGGACACTACTTGCTGCTGTTGGCACAGTTTCAAAAATATTTGGCACATAGTCAAATAGATATCTTGCAATTTTCTTATTATTTCAGCTCTTAAAGGGACAAATATTTGCAGTTAAAGGGAAGGACAAATGGGTGTACCAATACTTTTAAACTGGAAGTTCACAACTGACCTTTGGCCAATTATTTCAAC